TGCTGTGTAAACGAGTAAATGAAATAGGCAGTGTGGGGAGAAGGGCTGGGGGGTGGTTCAATGGCAATATTCTGTGACATGGGAAGTTGCTAGAAACAGTAGGGAGAATGAGGCTATCTAAAGGTTAAAGGTTGTGAGCAGTGCAGAGAGGGACCATATAGGAATACAGACAGGTACAGGAATCCTCCCACACACAGAAGGGGAGATGGGGTGCCCAAGGCAACCTGCAGCCATCACAGGGCCTCCAGGGAAGCGGCCTGCTCAGGAACTACCACCCTGACACTCCTGGGGTAATCAAGAGGAGAGCTGAAGTGGGGACAGCAGTCAGGGCCCACCTCTGGCATGGGACACACGTGGGTGTCAATCAAGAGCACTCGGGAAGGTTCTTCACACATAGGTGGACGGTGACCCCAATGAAGGAGGCAGAGTGTGACCTGACCCCTAAACGCCATCCAACTGCATAGGGAGAATGTCGGTGTCTGACCAGTATCTGACAGGGGAGGTCTCTGACCTCCGCACGCTTGTCCTTCAACACTGTCCTGATTTAACACTGTCCGAGCCCATTGATCTTTCTTTGTCTATCACCTTTGTCGAAAGGACGGTTTTACATCATTTGTCTTGCTGCTTCTTGCTCTCACCTGAATTTCTCTACCAGACTTTTGAATCAGGCCTCTATTTTAATCAGGTCTTATTCTTACTGTCTGGGAAATATTAACAGCAACGAGGAAGTCAGCGGTCCCACTCCTTGTAGCAAAAGCAAACCAACAAACACGCAAACAAAAACCCATCAGTACAACACTCCATGCACTAGTTTTAAGCAGACACCCACTTTCTCTCCTTCTCTCCTCGTACCTCCTCCTCTCTCCCAGTTTGAATGGTCTCGAAGCACTAAAGGCCAGGCCTTTTTTGGCCCACAAGGTTTTTTGGGTGAATTGGGGTGAGGATGCCCTCTGGGCAGACCCCACCAGTACCCCCAGCCATGATCCTCTGTTCCAGGAGCAAGGGCACCACACAGGGAGGCGGCTACAGGGAAAGGAGGGATCTGTGTCCCTGAGCTGGAAGGAGAAGAGGAGGGGGAGAGGGAGCAAGTGGACCAGGCCGAGTCTGAGAGGAACAGCATGTACCTGGAGGGAGCCAGGGAGACATTTGGGACCAAAAGAGACAAGAACAAGAGCACAGAGGTTTGGGAGTCAGGCCACCTGGATGGAGGCTTAGGCTGGATTCCTGATCTCCCTCCTGGTCTGGGACAGACCCCTTCAGCTCTCCGGCCCTTGGAGAGCAGAGTCCTAAATCCCTGCAAGCCTGATGCCCCAGCTAGACCCATGATGGAGAGGCAGACGAGGCTGACTCTAGGAGACTGCCGCTGGCCAGGGACAACAGTTCCTAGGGGGGACCTTGGGTGGTTTGCTGCAGCAGACAGGCCTAGTCAGCCTAAACCACACAAGTGAGAAGACCACCCATGGCCTTCTCTGGCCACTGAGGGTGGAAAGATCTAGCAGCCCTCTCTGAAGGCCCAAGCCCCATTCAGGGACGTGTGAGGATCCAGAGTGAGCTGTCGTTTGTTTCAAACTGGCACCCTGCACTCCAGCCCACAGCTCTCCCTTCTCAGCATCGAAGCTGCTTCCTCCAAGAAGGACTGCCCGCTCCCCACACACCTTTTTCTCTGAGGGTAATTCTCTACAGTCCCAAAGAAAACCTCAGTCATCTATCTCCCTTCCTCAGTTGCCCATTGACTCCAGATCCTTGGGGTCTTTGAGAGAAGCCACAGTTAAGCCCCGACGCTGCAAGCTTCTTTATCTCCAGATCCATAAAAAGCCAGTACTGGTCAAGTGACTGCCAATGACTTGTTCCAACAGGCTCATGATCATAGTGATGAGAATGAAGACAGTAAAGAAAATACTAACTTTTCCTTCTATTCCTACAGTACTTTTTAGCATTTTAAACATTTTTGGTGAAAATTTAGCTTTTGAAGTGACACCATGCCAGTTATCTCTTGGAGGCTTATGTGGCCACTGGAATAAGTAGGGTGGGTAAGGATTATCATCCCCAGGGTTCAGATGAAAACATAAGGCCCTGAGAGGAAGAGGCTCTCCATGGTCCTGCAAGCAGGTGACAGGGGCCCAGCCCTGGGGAGGTCTCTCACCTGCAGGAGCTCTGCAGCCGGCTGCTGTGCCTTGTCCTCCAGCTCAGAGATGACCTGTGTCAGCCGGGCGAACTCTTCAGCACTCCTGGCTTTGTACTGCTCCCTGTTCTATATGAGCTCCTGCCCCAGCTTCCCCAGCTGGTCCAGCAGGTGTTGTTCCTGTTCCCTCAGGATCTGATGGCCTTGCTCAAACTCAGCCATGATGCTCTTCCTCCCTCTGCTCCTGCAGCTTCTCCTACAGGAATGGAAGGGCGGGGAGGGGTGACGGTGACGCTGCTGCCTTAGGTGAAAAATCCCTCCAGGAGGTACACAAAGCTGGCTCTTCCCCGCTATCTACCTCCATTCACCAATTCTCAGCACCCAGCCTCAAAGACACAGTAAGTAAATCTGTTTGGTCTCCTGACAGCACATGGTCAGCCCACTCTATTCCAGGTAACCTGGTATGTTCCATGGCCTTTTAAGGAACTCTGAGAGCCAGCACCCTTCTTTCCTGAACACTGATCTGCCACCTCTCAGGAAGCTTTCCTTAGCTAACTTCATCCAAGCCCAGTCGATCCTCCCTTCAGCTCCCTCCTAATGTGTAAAATACCTGAATGTATTCCATCCCTGCCATGGAGCCTGCCTTCTGTTCTGTCACTGGAAGTGTGGAATGTCTGTCTCTTTTCCTGCTTCCAACTCTCCCCACCATGGTCAGGGTGTGCCCGCCTACACTGGTTAGACTCAGGTACTCCCCTGAAGCCAGTTCCTTCCTTGTCAAGCCATCTGGCTCCCCAAAACTCAGGAATCCTGTCTTCCTCCCCTTCTTTAAAGAACAAACCAGGCCTTCCTCAGTTCCCCACACTGGCGCCCTCTGCAGACCAGCAGCAGCTACCAGCCACAACCTGCAGCAGAGGTGAGTCACAGAGAAGAGACCTCGGCTGACCTCTAGACTGGTCACTGTCAGATGGGGAAACAGACCAAAAGCCACACGGCTCACACTCGCAGGCTTGGGCTCATACCCCAGGGCTCCCAGCCACCTGGCGGGGCTCACCCTCCCAGGTGCTGAGCTGCCTCCCAGCAATACTCCAGCCCCGCAATGCCCCAGCTGCACCCCTGCTTCCCAAGGCCAATAATCTGGGGCCTTTCTCCTAACAGCGTGACTTACCAGAGTACCTGTGATATCAGATTCTCCCTTTGTCTGTAAGTTCTGAACTTTGTCTCGGTCTTCCTTAAGCTACTCAGGTGTTTCAGGATTTTTCCTGTAGAAAAACAGGCAGTGGGACAGGTGGACACGCTGGGCTGGGGCGGGAGGGCAGACTTGGGCTTAGTTCTCAGCCAACAGGAAGCTTTCAGAGGGTCTCAGCCAGGCTTGACTCCAGAGGAGTTCAGAGCCAAGATCCTAAGGGGGTGGCAGAGCACCCCGCTGTGAGGAGGGTTTACCTTGTGCAGCTACCTGGCCTTCTCCATCAGGAAGGCCGTGTGGGACCTGTGCTCCCACGACTCCCTGCACATCACGCATAGCAGCTTCCCGTCGTCCTCGCAGTAGTAGTACAGCTTCTCCTGGTGCCGCTCGCACAGCTGCACGTCCGACTGCTCCTGGGCCGCTTCTCCCTGCTGCCTGCCCTTGTCCACCTTCAGGCGCTCGATGTTCTTCACCAGGCTGGCCAGCTGCCACACAGGCCGGATGTTCTCCTTCTTAAAAGGCTTCTTGCAGAGGGGACAGATGGGGCGGCTGCGCATGAACGAGGGGATGTCAGTGGTACAGCCGTGGCAGAAGACGTGGCCACAGTCGATGGTCACCGGGTCCCGCAGGTGATTGAGGCAGATGGAGCAGGTCACCTCCTCCTCCAGGGTCCGCAGAGGGGCTGACGCAGCCATGGTGTCCTCGGTTCTGAGGGTTCCCTCTTCACTAGTGAGGTCCTCTCTTCCTTGGGGATAAGACACAGAGTCAGGGGGCCTCCCCGGTGGCGCAGCGGTTGAGCGCTGGATTGCAAAGCTGCCTCAGTCTCTGCAGCGCCGGTTCGATCCCCGGCTGCTCCCCGGCCACCGGAGGAGGGTCCCACATGGCGCGCAGACCTCTCCTGCCGCCCGCTGCTCCCCTCAGCAGTGTGCTTCGGTCCTTCTGCCTGCTCTGCTCCCCGCTCTGGCTCTGGTGAATTCTCTCACCCTCCCGCGCTTCTGACTGTACCCAGTGCATGTATAAACAAAACAAACAAACAAACAAATAAATAAATAAAACATGTGCCTCTATTAAAAAAAAGACACAGAGTCAGGAGTGAGCACATAGGAGAGGCAGAGGTGCTGCCTGGCACAGGGCCACCAGCTCCAGCAGCAGCCAGTCACACCGACAGCTCCTACAAGGCCCCAACAGTACCAGAGGACCATTTTACAGAGGAGGAAACTTAGGCCGCAGAGGGCAGCTTGACAGAGTAGACAGCATTCCTACCAACTGACAGAGCAAGATACCCCGGTAACTTTCTGCTGGAAACTGTCCTAATAAACACACAAGTCTACAGTGTGCAGTGTGCACACAGTGCTCCCTCAGCTGTGCTGGGCACAAGGTGCACAACTCTTCATAAGGAGCCCTGACAGGCAAGAGCCCCTCTGTCTGCCCTTCCAGGTTTCTGGTGGCAAGCACCAAGAGCACCGAGCCTCCTGACCCAGATTCAAGAAGCATCAAGCGCCTAGTGCCTTCCTTTGTGGACTCCTTCTTGGGCTGTGAGGTGGCTTCGGTGTGGTTCACTTCCCCTAGATGCCGACTCCACTTGGCCTCCGCCTGCCAGGAGCATGGTCTGGCCACACTGCATTCATTCTCAGCCACCACTCCCCATAGCATGGCCTGGCTGCTCTGCTGCTCACAATGGTGGACCGTCCAGGCTGAGCTGGTGAAGGAAACCCATATAGGAGATATAGTCTGGGGGCTGCATGTGCTAATGAGGGTGCCACGCTCAGGGGGAACACATCGCTGAGCAGAGAGAGGATGTCAGTCCCAACCACTTTTGTAGCCCCAGCACACTTCCTGGCTGCATTTAGGAGCCCAGCACATATGACTGCCTTCAACCCTGACTCTGTGACAAAAGAGCTTATGAAGGACCCTGAGCCTCAGTTTACTGAGCCATAAAATGGGGAGAATGGCACTTAGCCTCAAGGGTTTCAAAGTGGGTTGAGTGAAAGAATTCTGTTGAAAATATTAAGCACGAGCATAGTATAGAGGAAAAATCTAGGAGCAAATTCAGGGAATATTCAAAGCACAGAGTGCAAGAATGGAAAAGGTGGCAGCAAGAGATAGTGAGGGCCTCCCTAGTGGCCTAGTCACAGCACTATCACTGCTGTGGCCTGAGTTCAATCCCCAGCAAGGGGGCTAACCCACATGGTACAGCAGACCCCTACTGTCTCACCTGCTGCTCCCCTCAGCAGTGTATTTCAGTCAGTCTGCCTGTTCTGCTCCCCACTCTGTCTCTGGTGAATCCTCTTATACCCACCCCCCCCCACTCTGCACCTCTGGCCTATACCCCAGTTCTTCAACCAAAAATAAATAAACTTATAAATAAACATCACTGCTAGAATATAAGAGAATATAAAAACTCTAATATAATATAATTTTTAAATAAGATTTGTGCCTTCCTATGTTCATATCAACATTATTCACAATAACCAAGTCATGGAACCAACCTAAGTGCCCAGTGACCAAAAATGGATAAAGAAAACTAGAATATATACTCAACAGAATACTACTCAGTTAATTATAAAGATGACGCAGTATCTTTTAAGACAAAATGGATAGCTCTTGAGGTGATTAGGCTAAGTGAAAGAAGACAGATACAAAATGGTATCACTAATTTGTGGAATATAAACAACAAAAGAAAATAAACTTGTGAGGCCTCCCTGGTGGTGCAAGGAGTTAAGACACAGCCTATGAAGCTATCTGCAAGCACTGCAGCACGAGGTCGATCCCCGGCCAGGGAGCAACCCACACAGCGTAGTAGACCTCCTGACTTGCCCACTGCTCCCCTCAGCAGTGTATTTCAGTCAGTCTGTCTGTTCTGCGACCCACTCTGTCTCTAGTGAATCCTCTCACCCCCTGCACCTCTGGCCTGTACCCCAGTTCTTGTATGCATAAATAAATTAAAAAGAAAAAAGAAAAAAAATACAGCAAACAGAACTTAGACCTTATGAAAACTACACTGGTTACCAGGAGAACAGGGGAGGAGGGAGGAAATGAGGAAGGAAGGGGGACAGGACATGAAGTGGGGTTTGGTGGAGGGTGAGTAAAGCACCTATATATATGGGGTGTGAAAATGTATCCCTGAAATTATAGTTATGTAAAATATAAATTAGTAAAATTTGAGAAAATTAAAGTATTTATTTTTAAATGGTACTTATTGAGGTTATATATGAGAATGTCCATTTTTTAAGGCAACGCATGCTGCAGTATTTAGGACTTCATGACTGAAACTTTTAAATGTTTCAGAAAAACAAAACATTAGAAAGTTTTCCGAGGAGAGGGGTTATGATTTTCCATATTTCTCAAAAGAATCCACAAAGGTCTGCAACTACCAAAGATGTTAAAAGTCACTAAGGAAGAGATCACGGTGCCTGACACACCGTAGGAGGCCAATACAAACGTGTTGAGCAAATAAAAGGACTTGGAGAGTTGAAGGCGACACTAACTGTATCAAACCACTTGTCTGCAAGTCAGCCATTATCAGAGAAATAAAACAGACGTTTCTATGTTCAGTCCCATCGCCTGGCTATACAGGACCCATCGCGGCCTATGATGAAAGAGGACTAACCTGCACTGCTGAGTACATGCAAATCTGTGAGTGAACAGCCAGGTTCAAGTTCAGGCTCTGTAACCACTGGTGAGGAACAACAACTGGGCAACAGCATTTATTAAGAACCCACCTTGGGCTTCCCCTGGTGGCGCAGCGGTTGAGCGCTGGGCTGCGAAGCTGCCCGCAGCCTCTGCAGCGCCAGTTCAATCCCCGGCCACGGTGAGGGTCCCACATGGCACGCAGATTACTCCTGCCATGCCTGCTGCTCCCCTCTGCAGTGTACTTCGTCAGTCTGTCTGTTCTGTTCCCCGCTTTGGCTCTGGTGAATTCTCTCACCCTCCCGCACTTCTGACTGTACCCAGTGCTTGTATAAATAAATCAATCAATCAAAAAAAAAGAGCGAGGAAGGAAGGAAGGAAGGAAGGAAGGAAGGAAGGAAGGAAGGAAGGAAGGAAAGAAAGAAAGAAAGAGAACCAAAGAACCCACCTTACCTGGCATTTACATATGTTATGTTATTTTGTTTTAAAGATTTATTTATTTAGACAAACAAGAACTGGGGTACAGGCCAGAGGTGGGGGGGAGGGGTGTGAGAAGAGTCACCAGAGACAGAGTGGGGAACAGAACAGGCAGATCGACTGAAATACACTGCTGAGGGAGCAGCGGGCGAGGAAGGAGAGGTCTGCTGCGCCATATGGGTAGCTCCCTGGCCGGCCAGAGATCGAACTCATGTTGCAGAAGCTGGGGATAGATTCACAGTGCTGTGCTTTAACCCCTTGCGCCACCAGGGAGGTCCCTTATGTTATTTAATGCTCGGTTTTCTGAGGAAGCCAAGGCTCAGCCAGCAGAGTAAGCAACCTGCCAAGGGTATGTGGTAGCAAGCAGTTGGTGTCAGATCCACCACTCTCTTCCTTACTCAGGCAAATGTAAGACTGGATCCAATGCCAGTTTCTTTGTCGGGAAACTGGGGTGCGCTCACATATGGGGAAGGGCTCTGTAAGCTGGAGAGTGCTGATAAAGGTAACAGGGCACTTGTTACTGCTGATGCGGACTGAAAGTATCCTAGCCTGAGATAGGTCCAAAAATGGGGTTCAAGTATGAGCAACACAAGAGTGCCAGAATAACTGCTCACCACCCCACACCTAATCCTTTCAGATCTAACACCAAATGGACCCTTTTTGCAAACTCGTCTCCATTAAAACCATGTCCCCCATGATTCTGCCCTTCAACAGTTTATGCCTTCTGCATAGGCGCTGGTTATTTCACCAGGTTTCCACAATATCTTCCTCTCCATTCCTGGCTCTCGGTTAGGGAGAAACCACGGAAAATCAGAGCAAAAAAACCCTCACATCCTTTACGCAAATTCTGAAACCTGAGAAAGTGACTTCATGAATCAGCATGTAGCAGAGGTCACACACCCCTGCTTCTGTCCCTTCAATAAACCAGAAGCTGGTTGTGATTCCACAGAACCAGGCAGGACTGCAGACACTCCCTATCGCCTGAGCCCTTTTCCCCAAACCACCCTACTCTTCCCCTACAACTCTCTGGATCCCCCAAATCCTACTCTGCATCTGTCAACAGGCAGCAGATGTAATTTCCAGCAACACATTTTAGGATGTGGATGTCACGGGCAATTCATGGCTGTAAGAATCTGCAAAAGCCAGTCGAGAAAAGCTCCGTCGCACCTTGTCCCTACATCTACCTGGGTCAGCTCAAGAGGAAAGGGACCAGAACTCTGGTCCTCTGACAACTTCTGCTCAAGCAGGTGCCAAATGTTCCTTCAACTCACAGTGGCTTCTGCCACCCTACACCTTCCTCCCTGCCTCTGTTGCCTGGGCTCCCAGATGCCACAGAAAAGAAGCCGAGAAGACACTGAATCCCAGATGCGAACTCAGGTCTATAAAAGCGCAGGTGCCCAGATGTGCTCCCTGGTCTGGTCTCTGCTGGAATCCCCAAACCTCTTCTTTGAAATTGCAAAGCAATTAGCCTAGAGCTCCATGCCTTGTGGGAACCTCATCTGAGGAGTCCCATTTTCGGGTTCTAGATTAAGTCCTAGTCCTTAACCTAAAATAAGTAAATTCTTCTAGAAGTAAACTTTTGATATCTCTCACAAACCTAGAAAAGACAGAATTCAGGGCAAAAAGCAAATGACCTGGTTCTGGAT